ACTGCATGTTCTTCTTCAAATGTGCTCAGCAGGCTTTCATCCACTGGGGGATTTTGAACCACTTGAACAGAGCCCATATGCAAAGTAGTAAAACTGTAGGTGGGGCGAATTGAGCTGCTTAGAACGTCACCACTATCGCCATCAACGGTAACTGCATTACCACTGGCATTACTTCCATTGACATTCGCAAAAACGTTGCTGTTTTGAGGCGGCAAACATTGCCCAAGATTTCTGTTTGCATTTGTATTTTGCTGATGCTGCTGTTGCTGTTGTATCATTACTGCTGAAGCTGCTTTTGGTGGTGGTGTGACTGGAGGCGCATAAAGGGGCTCACCTGGTTTCAGATGGCTAATAAGGTTGCTGCTAGTAGGGGCGCCGCCGCTGATGTGGTGCAGCCGGTCGCCGCTTTTGACCAGTTGACTGAATGGCACGGGAACGTGGCCGTCATTATTATTACGATCTGCGGCCACAACTGAAAGCCTTCCACCAGTGTGACTGGAGATTTGGCCAATCGGTGGTCCTCCGGAGAAAGAAACTCCCAAGGAAGAGGAGGAAGAAGAGGAAGAAGAATGATCTGCTTGAGGTTGAAGAGGTTGGACTGCTGCCTGTTGAGCACTGCTGCTGCCTGCCAGATTGGCATTAACTGCATCACCTCTTTCTCCGTTGTTCCCTCCGTTGAGATTGCTGTTGCCGAGGAAAGCTTGCTGAGGAGGAGAAGGCTGGGGAGGCTGTTGGGCGTTTCTGCCTCTCTTGAGCATGTTCTCCTCCTTTTCACGTTTGTCAAGTTCAGCGCGGGTCGACGCCGCATTGGCGAGAATTTCTAAGGCGCCCATGAAGGCGGGGATATCAGGCGGTGGGGGAGAGGGTGATCGTTGTCGTGGTGGTGGCGGGGGTGGTGGGGGTGGTGGCGGTGGGGGCGGTGGTAGAACATAAGGAGAAGGAGGAAGAGGAGGAGGTTGTACGGAAGAAGAGGGCATTGTGCTAATGGCGTGCATCGTCACCTGCGGCACTGTTGAAGGTATGGGAAGTACTGGACCTTGCACATATGGTACCTGAAATGCCTGAAACTGATGCTGCTGCGGCTGCTGCTGCAGTTGCACAGCCTGAAATGGAATGTACTGCCCGCCACCGACATTGATGCTCGACAATCCACTGAGGGCCAGAACATTCGGAGGAGGCAGTGCATTTAGGCCATTGCCGTTGATGATGCCGCTGGAGGCTGCTGCTACTGAAGCCGCCGCTGGAGCAGTGGAAACTGGCGCAGAAATGAACAGAGGTCGCATTTGCTGCTGCTGCTGCTGCCCTGAACCATTGTTGCCATCAATTCTGACTGGATTCTTCACATGGTTAACACGCACTGAACCATTGATTTGCTGCGGCTGCGGCGGCGGAGGCTGTTGTTGTTGCTGCTGCTGCAACAACTGAGGCTGTGGCATCTGAAGCTGAAGCCGCTGATGCTGAAGCCCAATTTGCTGCCCATACTGAAGCACACTTTCAAAAGTCCCTGGTACTGAGCCGGAAGCGGCGGCGGCAACGGCGGCAATGGCAACGGAAGCGGCGGCGGTTGTTGCGACCGCCGCCTCCTCTTCAGCGGCCGTTTTCTGCGATAGATCAAGGGGCGCCTCAAGCAGTGACGGGCAGCAACGGGGAATGCCATTCGGTGGGGGATTGTTAGGGTTGTGGTGGTGGTGGTGGTTGTCCATGATTGGATTGGATTGGTGGGGAGGAGCAATGGGTCGATTGATGGAACAAGTGGTGTCGGTGGTGGGAAAGAGTGTGTGTGTGTGTGTATGTGTTTGGTAAGTGTCACTTAGCCTAAGTGTGTCTGTCCGGTCCAGTGTCTCTCAGTTTTGTAAAGAGATCAACGCTGATGATAGTTTTGGAAATGATGATAGTTGGAAAAAGTCGAAAACGTGTGCACGTAAATAGAAGGAGAGAAAAGTATGTTGAAAAAGTAGTAAAAATTCGGCCGCGTGGTGAGATCTAGAAGAAAAAAGTGAAAAGTCGTGTAAGTTTAGTGCTTTGAACGTTAGAACAGTCCACTCGGTTGATTGATAGAGGTTACTTACCACCAAGACCAACACCGCGACCACTTTTTTTCTGCAGAGAAATAATGAACTTCTAATGACTTGTGAAAACACTGAACGAAGCAAAACGAAATTCGAGATGGGTTCACTGTAAGGAAAAAAGAGAAAAAAACAGCAAGAGTTAGTACTGTACTGTGAACTATTTGTCATTCATTCAGGGTCGCTAAACCCTATCAGCAAAGTTGCAAACTTTAAAAGTCTCAGAGACAGACTGTTTTCTCATTAAGAAACTAACTTTCACATACACACACACTCATCTACAAACCGCCTTATCAGCAGTTATCTCAAAGTGAAGCATCGTTGTACGATTTGTTGTTGAAGTTGTAAACAAGAGCTCAATTATCAGAAACGCGCAAGCAGGAAGGTTTTAGAGTTTGTAGAGATCAATCACTTACAGAAAGCAATAACATCAGTTTGCTATAAAAGCAAAGGTGTGACTTACCGATTGATCTTTTGATGTGTGTATGTGTCTTGGCTAAACCACACCACGTATGATCAAGACCACCGCACCCACTTGTCTGAAAGAGGAGATAGCCCAAAAGGGACGATATGAATGGAGTAGGCACACCGTTTTCTTTTTTGATTTTGAGATTCTTAGTTCTCCGGTTAGATTTTTGTAAACCTGAAACAACAAAAGCCTGGTCAGTCATCGGCTATTCTTGAGCAAGTAAACGAAGTCAAAACTGAAACACACAAAGTGAGAGTTTCAAGCAAAACAGAAAAAGCAAGTGACTCACCGGTGAACAAGAGACAATGGCTGCTGCTGCCGCAGCTGCAGCAGCTGTTGTTGTTTCTGCTTCTGCTTCTTCTGCCGCTGTAATCGCTTCAAAACAAAGTTGCACTGGTCAACTTGGTGAAGTGCTGACAAAGCTGCAAGGCACCTGGGCCCAGGAGCCGAGGGGACGAAGGAGGGAACAAGTGAACGAGAAGAAACAATATGGATTCCAAAAGAAACTGCTGAAGCTGCTGTGCAAGTGGTGCAAAAGCTGCTGCTTCTGTTGTCTGTAATGCCGAGGCTCTCTTTGTGCTGCGAGCTGATGAACACAGACACAGACACACACACACACACACGCACACAGTGCGCCTGAACTGCTGCTGCTGCCACCACAGGCAAGAGAGAAAAGCTGCCACTGCACAGAAATGGGAAGCACGCGAGCAGGCTAGCGAGGAGAAAGAGAGAAGAAGAAGAAGAAGAAGAAGAGAAAGTGCTACGAATGCGACTGCGGCGACGACAGCGGCGGTTGCGGCAGCTAAAGGCAGCAGCATCCGAGTCGTTGCTGCTACGAATGGACTCGCCTTTAGCGGCGGCAGCAGCAGCAGCAGCAGCCACTGGCGATGAACAACAACAAAACAAACTCGACGGCGGCAGCGGCAGCGGTGGCGTGCAAGTGCTCGCTGTATTCGTGTGCTATGTATATGGTTCACAGTTGCTGACTGCTGAAATGTCGAGTGTATATGGCAATGCTGAAGGGAAGGGAAGGCAGTGAGGAAGGAATGAAGGGAGGAAAATGTTCCTGCTTTCTCTCTCTCTCTCTCTCTCTCTCTCTCTCTCTCTCTCTCTCTCTCTCTTCTCTCT